TACCCCCCCCCCTTCCCCATAAGGCGCAATTGTTCAGTTTTTGAATTCGGATGGTCTCTAGCCTATTCAGAGGATACAATAGACTCAAAAAACCATTTCAGAATCTTATAGGCGACCAACAAACCTGGATGTAAAAATTACCAATTATACGCCGAATTGGCAATTTTGACCCCCAAAATGGGGGGTAAAACTTCGAGATAGGAAGAAACACCCACTGACACTTTTGATCAGTAGGTTAAGACCTACAACATATCAAAAGCGCAGCCGAATTAACCGGGCCCACTTTTCCCATAAGACCGGTCCGTCGTCCTTTGTAAAGACAGCAGAGATTAAGGAGAAGTATTTCGTAGAGCTGCATGCAATCCACCCTGAAGAGTTAAAAACTAATTTAAGGCGCGCCATGTATAGGGTACACTTTATTGCGATCGCCGAGAGCCATGCGACTCGATACATGTATTCGAGTCTCAATGTTCGCTGAGTCATTTTGAAGAAGTGGCGGGAACGTAAGGGAATTTTTGCAGATCGATAAATACTTCTTGAGAGCATTTAGATTGCTGGTAATCGTTCTTTAATCAATGCCGTTACTGAAAGAACCCATTAGATCTTTTCTGTGCCTCTATGGAGGGGGCTGCTGTCCCCCTCTTTAAGGCATCATTTTTGGGCGTAAAGTGGTCAGATTTGGGATATTTAGGGGTCAATTTCACGTAAAATTGTCAGTACTTTTCAATTTTAATGCAACCGAATCGAAATTCTATTAGAACTCGGACTTTTGGGATCGTAACCCCCCCTTTACTCCCCAGAGGGGGCTGGGGGGGGAGAGAGAGGTTCGGGACTATGAAATTCGGATTCCCTGGGGTCAATTCCCTATTCAACCCCGCGGTCCTCGACCTCCTGCAACCTACAACAACCGAGAAAATGGCCTGGTATGGGTGGTCTGGGACGCCCTGTGCATTCTCACGGCGCGCTCTTCCAGCACTCAGTGTCAGGGTTACGATGGAATTTAGAAAATGAAATTCCCCGACACTTCCTTAATTTCCCTGACACATTTTTGTGAAATTCCCTGACAATTGAAGGTGTGACGGATGGTTAAGAAGGCATAATTGAAAATACGTTTTCAGGCAAAATTTGTTGTTCGAAATCTCAAACCCATTCTACAAAGCAAATGAAGGTGATTTAACAAATTTTCCCTGACAGTTTCGTCATTTTCCCTGACATTTCCCTGACTTTAGAAAATTCCCTGACATTTCCCGGTTTTCCCTGACTGTGGTAACCTTGCAGTGATGGAGTTCCCTGCTTGTCCCAATTGAAACAGAATTGGCCGAAATTCTTTTATGTTGGCGGGGAATGTTTCAAAGGAGGTTAGTCAGGCGCATCAATATTATTGGTAATCTTTAATGAACAACAATTGTTAATCATATACATTAAAATGCAAAGTTCCGAATCTTTGGGCGTTAACTTTGAGAGAACCACCGGACCGATTTGCCTGATCTATTTTTTTAAATGAAAACCCCTGAGCTGTAGATTTGCGGGTTGTAATTTGTTTTCAGATTTTTTCAGATTTTCTCCTGTAATTTTCTGAAATTTTCTCCAATGTATTAAAACGGAGGTCCGAATCTTTGGGCGTTAATATTGAGAGAACCACCGGACCGATTTGCATGATTTTTCTTTTAAATAAAAGCCTCTGATCTGTAGATTTGCAAGCTGTGATCGTTTTTTCGATTTCCTCAAATGCTCTTACTTTTATCGACGAGTGAAGTTTAGCTGGGCTCGAATTTTCTCCCATTAATTCAGACTGAAGTCCGAATTTTGGGACATTAACTTTGAGAGAACCACCGGACCGATTTGCATGGTTTTTTTGAAATGAAAGCTTCTGATCTGTAGATTTGCAGGCTGTAATTGTTTATTAGATTTTCTCAAATTTTCTTACATTTATCGACGATTAAAGTTCAGCTGTTTCGAGCGGTCGTCCGGCCGCTACCTGCTTGCCCGTCCCTAGGTACCCCCCCTCTACGGTCTCAGCCACCCCTCCCGCCACATTCTTTCGGCAATCTCCGTTTTCTTTCGTATAGCTTTCCTCCCACCAACCTCAAAGAAGGAGGTTTGGGTCGCATCGTGGTTCGTCACTCCCCACCCACATTCCTTCGCAATCCCTCGGCTGCTCCGCTTCACAGCTTCTTGATATCCTGACATCTTATTCTCTGCGGCTTGACTGACCCTGATTTATTAACTGCAATATTGCGTATTGCTAAAAACACGTATTGTTACAGACATTTTATTCATCATTATTAAATAGATTCAACTAATTGCTCCGATTCCAAATAAGCTACTGCACCACCATTGCTAGCTGTGGAGGGCGCCCGTAGGAGCTAGTTTTCATTTAAAATAGCTGCCAAAAACAATACTGGGAGCAAGTGATTACTTTTTTGCAGGGATTCCTCGAACATCGCAGAGTACTCGTGATGTTGCCTTACTACAAATCATAGGTACACCAAAAAAGCTAATTTGAATTTTTCAAATCTGTGAGAGTACCTTTTTTTAGTATGATGTTATTAGCTTTCAGGAAAGTCCAAAAAACCGCATTCGAACGTGCTATGAGCAAGTTATCACCAAAATCCGAGTTCTAATTGAACAGACCTTGTAGGACTTGTTGGATTATTTCACTAAGTTGGATTTAGAATGTTCATAGAATGATTAATTGATTGAATAATCAAATGTCTTTCTATTCGATTCATTGATCTATTGTTACAATTTCGATTTACTGTTTAGTCCATTAATTGCTACTAATTGATCGAAAATTAAAAACCACTTGGTTTTCGGGTCTTCCAAAAAATCAGTACAAAACCTATGAAAATTTCAGCTCAAAGCCCAAAAATGCTGATATATTATGGAGAAACAGGATTTCATGAGAAGAAACTAAAATGATTTGTTGTGCTAAAGTTTTCTTACATATAGAGAAAAATGTATGGCACACCTGATTCATGTTTCTCAAATTCAGCACAAAGGTTGATTTACTCCTGAAAATCTTAACGGGCGTCCCAGGGTACAGGTTGTTAATTTGAAAACGTACCGTCCAAAAATTCGATTAATCGATTAATCAACTGATCGCAAAACTCTAAGCAGGATTCCAATTTATTACTGATAATTTTTCTAACGTCTTTCCCCACGATATGACTAAAACATGCAAACAATATCTTACCGTGTCAAAGAATTCTGTGAATTTGGAGAAATAATACCACCAACAAGTTCTTGCCATCTAAACAAAATGAAAAAGAAAAAGAGAATTTTAAATCGATAAAATTAATTGTAACACGGAAAGGGATGACTTCTCTCTAATGCTAATGTTTCAATGCACAACAATTGAGTTGGAACAATCTGAATTTAGAAAACACTTTCAACTCCTGTTTCAATGGGTGGCGTATCCGATTCAAAATTGGTCTTCAGCAATTTGTGATAGGATGCCTAATCACAGGCCCTGTGTTAGAAATTGAGGGGGTTGAAGTCGTAAATGTATAAATCGCGCGGGCAGAACCGGAGATCCGTGGATCGTGAGAGGACGGTGTCCTTGTACACCTCAAAACATGGTGTACATACACTCCAACAAACGCAGTACCTATATGTAGGTAATTTGCGCGTCGGAACGTATGTGTAACGGTGAGGTATTGTGTGCGCGGGAGCGCCATTTGTAGACCGCGCTAAAATGCAAAGCGGTGTTAGGTCTCCGAGTATCATTAATTTCAGCTGAAAACTCTGAAAGTGCTTTGATTTTGATGAAAATGTTAAAATTGGTCAGATGCGCTAATGTTAAAATGGTAAAATTGGTGCAGATGCGCTAATGTTATGTTGATATTATACAGGGTGTTTCAGACCACCCGTACCAGGCCTTTTTCTCGGTTGGGATAGGTCGTACGAAGTCGGAGACCGCGGGGTTGAATAGGGATTTAACCCCAAGGAATCCGAATTTTGTGGTCTCGAAACCCCCCCCCCACTCCCCCTTGGGGAGTAAAGGGGGGGTCACGATGCTAAAAGTCACGGTTCCCGACCGAATTGCGGATAGATCGCATCAGAATTGAAAAGCACGGAAAATTTCACGTGAAATTGACCCCTAAAAATCCAAAATCGGACCATCTAAGGCCCAAAAATGATCCCCTAAAGAGGGGGACAGTATCCCCCTCCATAATTTCTCTTTGGTCTCAAAATGGACGTAGATTCTCCTGAAAAGACGGTTTCTCCCATGTAATCGACCCCGAGGAGCTCAGGAAACATGAAATTTAGAGTCTTCGGGGTCGATTACATAGGAAACCGTCTTTTTCTGGAGAATCGACGTCAATTTTGCGACCAAAGAGGAATCCTGAGAAATTTTTGGCGGGGGCGAAGCCCCCCTCCTCAGGGTGTTACTTTCTGCCGTTCAAGGGGTCTATTAGAACTCTTAGGAGTCACTTAAGATGTAAATGTGTTCTGCTCCTCAATTTGGATGCAATCAATTTGCGATTCGGAAAGGAGCCCCGATTTTTAAAATTGCCCCCCCCCCCCGGTTTACCCCCCAAGGGGGGCTAGAGGAGCTTCGGGACCATGAAATTTGGATTTCTCGAGGTCGACTACCTGGGAAACCGTCTTTTTCTGGAGAATTTACGTCCATTTTGAGACCAAAGAGAGATTATGGAGGGGGGTACTGTCCCCCTCTTTAGGGAGTCATTTTTGGGCCTTAGATGGTCCGATTTTAGATTTATAGGGGTCAATTTCACGTGAAATTTTCCGTGCTTTTCAATTATGATGCGATCTATCCGCAATTCGGTGGGGAACCGTGACTTTTAGTATTGTGACCCCCCCCCTTTACCCCCCAAGGGGAGGGGTGGGGGGGTGGTTTCGAGACCACAAAATTCGGATTCCTTGGGGTCGATTCCCTATTCAACCCCGCGATCTCCGACTTCGTACGACCTACACCAACCGAGAAAAAGGCCTGGTACGGGTGGTCTGAAACACCCTGTATAGACTGCGTTTATTTTTTTAGTTATTATTACTTCGACCGCGCGAAATTTTTCTGCTGAAATTCTTCGACCGCGCTCTGTAACAATGCGTAGGGAAACTTTGTGGTCTGCTCCTGAAAGCGTACATAATGAGGTACTTACTGCACTCTTGCTTCCAATTGTTAAAACTGACCTGGTCTGTCCCTGATCTCGGGGAAAAAACCAAACTTTAGCCCGTAAATAAAGCGCCATTCACGTACTGCCTATGCATGCCCACGTCTATTTTTTTGTGCGTAGGAACTGAATTTAAGGAAACAGGGCATCTATTCCAGTCTGTTGCGTTAAAAGAAACAGGATGAAAAATTTGAAAAATTGTTGTCGAATAAATTTTGATGTGGGACTGCTTTACTCATATACCAATTACAATGGAGATAACTGCTGATTGAATGTTTTAATATGTGGCTCTATGACCTTGTCTTAAGAACTGTAAAATTAAAAGCATGTTGCCTCTTTATTAACGCTTTTATTCAATACTCCGCAATATTTCGACTTCGACGCTAAACTTATTTAGGTTAAGAGAGACATTCTCGTGGTTTGAAGAGTGTTACTCCAAGGTTGCAGAACGATTAAATTTTACACGAGAAAATCACGACGCAATTTCTGTTCCAAGACGAGCTGATTTTCGCATTTAAGTGGGAGAAAAACTAGCTTTACCCTTAAAAATGCCTGACAATTTCTGAGGAAACCGACGAACGGCAGCGCAAAGTATTCGATAACGGAAACTAGCGCCAGTTGTGGGGGAAAAGGAAAAAATACATCGTCTTACAGCTATGAAAAAAAGAAAAAAAAATTCTAGGAAATAAGTAACTGCGGCGGCGACCGGTCCTTTCGATCGACCTTGGTCATGTTTTCACGGCACGAGTCGAATGATCCCGGCCTGTCTACTATAAAGTTTGACGGCTCTCCACGGACACAACGACGTCAACGCTGATTGGAAACGCAGCGTTCTGAAATTGTAACACGAAGTGGCGTGAAAACAGCGTCCAGCAAGTTTACTGAATAAAACAACCACAGCCAATGTCCGCAAACAGCAGCTCGAGCATGAATTGCAGGTCTCACGATGCGGACACGTTATCAAAGACATTTAGATCGGATCTACTCGAAAATTCGCTTTGTGAGTCTCCATGAGACCCCGCAGCTACACTAGGTATTTCTATAAAGGTATATCCTAGAAATCACATTGTACGTAGGTCAGTGCGACACTCCTTGGATTCCCTGGATTCTAAGGGTTTCCCCTTCACCCAATTCTTATGGATGCTGCGTCGCTGCATGCCCTCTAAAGCCGTTCCGCGATATTAAAAGACCCTGACTTCAATTTTGAAAAATTTAAAGGCATCGCTCTCAAATGGAGGTTTAAATGTCGATAGTCGAAACATCGACAGAATCCGCACGTCACATCTCGTCGGGTCTTCTTTCATGGAGGAGTTACTATTTCTGATTTAAATTAGAGGCAGAATCACTAGAGAAGATGAAGAACCTTGATTTTACAAACTGATTATTTCTGTCGGTGCTTTTCAGTTTAGACGACTGCGACTAAATCATCGGTCGCGAGAAGCGACCTATTTGGTTGACAGAGCCAGGATTCAGTACGGCTGACCGAAGGTTCAGTTGAACGAACTGTTTTCTCGGCTCACCGAAAACATTACTCACACGCGAAGCCAGAAAACGCCTAACTCTAGTCGATATGAAACATCTTCCAAACGGAATAGAGTTTTTCAGTTCATAGAACTGAGCTCTCCGCTCACTATTCTGAAGTTCGGTGCTTCGATTGAACTAATATTGGTTTGCATAACGGAGGTTTTTCCACCGCGTGGTGCGTTCTGATTGAATCTCAAATATTGCAATAAAATCAAATCCATACCATCTCAAGGTTCAGCTGTAAATCATTTACATCAATCAAATTTATCTCTCTGCGCAAGGCAATCAAATTTATCTCTCTGCACAAGGCAATCAAATTTCTTAACAATTTACCCGTAACATGACGGTAGTTACTGAGAGGAAGGGCGGCTAATCGGATTGATTTGAAGAGTGTTTCATCTCAATCAAAACGCCAGTCATTGTTACGAGAAGTCGAATTTACAGGATATGTGTTCCGGCTGTCCATTCAGGAGCCGTATACCTCGTTGGGCCTTCTGTTAGACTGATTATGAAGAGGCGTTGAGATCTAAAATATGATTGAAAAATATAATAGAACAATGACGAAATTTACAAAAAATGTAATCGACCCATCAGGCATCATTTTTTTTTTTTTTTTTTTTTTTTTTTTTTTTTTTTTTTTTTTTTTTTTTTTTTTTTTTTTTTAATAAAAAGCTTCACGAGGCTGAATAGTAGCACGTAGCTACAAGAAAAAAAAGTTTCGCTGGTAGCACATTATAAAGGGGTAAAAAGTAGTGGACTGTATATCCAAACGCCACGCATCTGCGTCCATCCAATAATCACGAAGACGTCATCTTTCTGTAAACACGGCGAGTGACGTTGGTATAAACCCGCCGTTTTCATCGAAGGACAACATCTTCTTTTATATACTTATGACGCAAGAAAATTGACGTTCGGACTGTCCTTATGCTTTGTAATTTTAATCTACAGTAACCAAATCTTCCGACCCCTAATATTACACCCTTCTGACTGAGTGTTGGGTCTCCTTAACCCCCGTCCCGGTCATTCATCTCACTTCCCTGGCGCAAATTTTTCCATGACACTCATGGTTTCCTCTTCCCGTGGACGTCTTGTTTTAAGATGTAGAAGAGTTTCAACTTACCCTTAATGCCATTGGACTATTTGAATAATCGACTGGTTGACACCGATAGCTATAGGAACCTCCCCATCCACTCATCAAATACTGAAAAAAAAAAAAAACCGAAAAGCGCAAGGTGAGAACACAGAAAACCAAACAGATATGATAATTTAACTATATTACTTAAAAATGGAGGTTGCGACGGATAAGAGATGCGTGATCTGATCCCTTATACAGGGTTATCCAAAAGTCACCTACCACCCCTGTAACTTTTTTCCTAATTGACATAGAAATTTGAAACTTCGGGGATATTCCTAGAAGGCACCCTTTTTCTTCAAATAGCACCTCCCCCCCCCCTCCCCTTTGTGCCACCTCATTCCGAAGACAACAAAAAATCAACATTTGCACCTGTGGTTCTGGCAAAATTTGTCTTATTTCAATGAGCTTGTTCAGCAATTCGTAATTCTTGCATTTTTGGAAACTAGAGAGTGCACAGAGTTCACAGGAATTTTCCCCGATTTTTTTGAGCAATATTAACCCACGAAATACGAGTCCAAAAGTCCGTATTTTGGGCTCCCATTTAAACGCGCGCCGCTTGGCCCATCTCAAAATGGCGCCCATTTTCTCCGTCCGGCGGTGGCCACACTTTTGACCCGGCGTGCCGGCGAGGTACCTCTGCATGCCTCTGCCGTGTGTGGGTCGTATAAACAAACGAAGATTGATAACACAAATGATCCAAACAACTCGAAATCTCTTAGTTTTAATTAATTTAAATCCATTTTCGACTTCAACCAAGCATTTGGCAATAATATTCATCGTATTTTACAACCAGGAGCCACGGCCTATCGGCTCATTTTAAGGTGCATTCTGAAAATCAGTCTTACAAGTCCAGTGTCCAAACCCAGACTTTCTTCTTTTACTTTTTTTGACCAATCTCTTTTCATTTTCGCCTCAAATCAAATGTTTTGCAGTTTCTTTGTCTTAAGTATGTGGTCCTGAATTCATTCAAGAGTTAGAAGTTCACCATTTATTTAGTATTATAGCCTTTTAACCTCTCAAGCTTTACCGATATGATCTCATGTAGTTCGAGGTTTCTTTGGCCCAAACCAAGTGATTACACATCTGATGTGTGTCTTATGGCTCTTCAAATTCGCAGTTTAGAACTAAATCAGAGACTACAGTTACTTAATCCAGTTCTGCTCTCTTGTTCAATGTTTGTCATAAGTGTTTGTTCGTGTCTGTTCTTTACAAGTGACCACTGTAGTGCATATACTTATACACAGTTATGCTATCGGTACAGGTATTATTTCTTGTTTTCTACAGTCAGGACTTTCTCTTAAGCGCAATAATTTACCAAAGAAATCACCTAGTTGCGTAAATAATTTGGTGTATAGATATTCTGTTAATGTCTCCTTGCGGTGATTCAAAGTTTCTGAGATCTATCACAAGTGGATTTTGCATTTAGACGGTCACTCTTGTCTGATAAAATTACTGCTATAGCAGCTTCAAATTTATACTTTGATCTCTGATTCATCACTAAATGACACTCATGCGGTGTCATTTATCTTTAATCAGTTCAAAGCTATTTCGACAATGAATCATCAAAGGTCCGATCGAAGAAGGAATTTTCTGGTGAGTGCTGCGGCTGAACCGACATCACAACTCAACTTTCAAAAGCATCAACTTATAAAAATTTATCAGGAAGTGGTAACGGTAAGTGGAAATCATGGTAGTGCTCGCTTCTTTCATGAGCAAATTGTGCGCTCAAAATTTCAAAATCTACTCACCTGCATGTTTATTTGAAGAGGAATATGACATGATATGTAGCAGGCTACACTTCATCTATGAATAATACGTAAATTTGTCTTGAGAGCATTCTTAGGAAACTTCCACAATTTTTAGATTTGTTCCTGAGAGAAAATTTGGAGACGACTCTGCTGGTATTCCCAGGGTTTTTTCAGAAATTTTGTACTTCATAGGTATCATCAAATACTTAAGTATCAACAGATATTGTACAAGACAGAAAATGTATTTGAGGATTCCTGCTAGTATGTTGTGTTTCCTGCAGAATCAAGGCTCATCATATTTCATGGAATGAAGTAATCAAAAACTACTTACTTACCTACAGCTTGGTCAGTTTCATGTCTTCCTAGAGTGAAGAAAATATTTTTTTTTCTCTCTATTTAAGAATTCAGGGTGAATCAAACCTGTCCAACAAACATTTTAATAAAATCCCTTTGTTCAAAAACACCTGAGAATCATTTCAATGGTAAAGTTGCCAACGATTCTTGTTAAAAGTCCGAAAGTCGGCTGGTTTACTGAATTTCTCAGGTACAGATGGATGGAAGGATTTTGAAAAGACATAGAATTACATCCTCCCATAAGAATAAGTCAGGAACATGGTTAAGGTTATCTGGGGATGACATTTGTAACATTTCGTTGCATGATTTTATAATCGAAGAGAAACAGAAAGTCTGAAACTTTGTAAATCTACGTTAGCGGTTTTCTAGTTAGGCTATGACATTGATATGCTCGTTTTGTTATCAATTAATCTCCACAAAGGTAAGCATACTTACAAAAACTGTACCACAAGAGATGCGAATGTAACTTGTGATACCTAAGTGACTTTACAAATCTTACCTGTTAAACTACCAGCTGCCCGATTATTGAAACTATGTCAGCCCGACATGAAAAGACATAGCCCTATCATATCCATGCAATATATTCGAATTTGATGTCTTGTCAGGTTGCTCTAAGCCTTCAATAATCGGTCTGCTGATTAGTTGCAAAATATTTCCACTTCCAGACGAATGATCATGTCTTGGTTGATGCTTTCGATAGTAGAGTTGTGATGTCGGTTCAGCCGCAGCACTCACCAGAAAATTCCTTCTTCGATCGGACCTTTGATGATTCATTGTCGAAATAGCTTTGAACTGATTAAAGATAAATGACACCGCATGAGTGTCATTTAGTGATGAATCAGAGATCAAAGTATAAATTTGAAGCTGCTATAGCAGTAATTTTATCAGACAAGAGTGACCGTCTAAATGCAAAATCCACTTGTGATAGATCTCAGAAACTTTGAATCACCGCAAGGAGACATTAACAGAATATCTATACACCAAATTATTTACGCAACTAGGTGATTTCTTTGGTAAATTATTGCGCTTAAGAGAAAGTCCTGACTGTAGAAAACAAGAAATAATACCTGTACCGATAGCATAACTGTGTATAAGTACATGCACTACAGTGGTCACTTGTAAAGAACAGACACGAACAAACACTTATGACAAACATTGAACAAGAGAGCAGAACTGGATTAAGTAACTGTAGTCTCTGATTTAGTTCTAAACTGCGAATTTGAAGAGCCATAAGACACACATCAGATGTGTAATCACTTGGTTTGGGCCAAAGAAACCTCGAACTACATGAGATCATATCGGTAAAGCTTGAGAGGTTAAAAGGCTATAATACTAAATAAATGGTGAACTTCTAACTCTTGAATGAATTCAGGACCACATACTTAAGACAAAGAAACTGCAAAACATTTGATTTGAGGCGAAAATGAAAAGAGATTGGTCAAAAAAAGTAAAAGAAGAAAGTCTGGGTTTGGACACTGGACTTGTAAGACTGATTTTCAGAATGCACCTTAAAATGAGCCGATAGGCCGTGGCTCCTGGTTGTAAAATACGATGAATATTATTGCCAAATGCTTGGTTGAAGTCGAAAATGGATTTAAATTAATTAAAACTAAGAGATTTCGAGTTGTTTGGATCATTTGTGTTATCAATCTTCGTTTGTTTATACGACCCACACACGGCAGAGGCATGCAGAGGTACCTCGCCGGCACGCCGGGTCAAAAGTGTGGCCACCGCCGGACGGAGAAAATGGGCGCCATTTTGAGATGGGCCAAGCGGCGCGCGTTTAAATGGGAGCCCAAAATACGGACTTTTGGACTCGTATTTCGTGGGTTAATATTGCTCAAAAAAATCGGGGAAAATTCCTGTGAACTCTGTGCACTCTCTAGTTTCCAAAAATGCAAGAATTACGAATTGCTGAACAAGCTCATTGTCTCTCGAAAGAGCTGTCAAAAGGGAGGGGGGGGGGCTACTATTTGAAAAAAAGTTGCTCCTAGTCCCCCCCCCTTTAGAGGGGACCACCGTCCCCTAAAAGTTTGAGGGCACCAAAAAGTGGCTACTTTAGACCCAGGAACATCCCCAAAGTTGCAAATTTCTATATGTCAAGTAGGAAAAAAAGTTACCGGGCTGGTTGGTGACTTTTTGATAACTCTGGACGTGATAAAACAAGAGGGATCCCCCAATATTATTTGAGCCACAAGATTCCACTGAAATTTACTTGGGCAGAAACTGCACAAATGAACTGAAACCTGAAAAGTGAAGGAAAATGTTAGCTTTAATGTCCTTGCACTTCTTTCAGAGAGACCACTTGGGTCTTTTCTAGGGTTGATTTTGATAGATTTTGATTTTAGGGGCATTTTTGTATGTCTTCCTACATTACACGCAACCTCCCCACCCTTCTTCAAACAACTTGTTTGCCCCCTCAAAATTCTTTTATTTTTTCCATTTCCTCTTACACAAAATTTTATTAGAACAGAATACCTAGCACGTCAAATTTTAGAAAATGTCCACATTGATCCACCTTCAAAATGTTGTCATTTTATCATCCACAGGTAATTCAGGTTAGAAATTTATACATGGTAAATATTAGAGCAACAAAATATTATTTTCTTGGTCAAAATTCTACGCGAACATGTTCAACATATTGAAAGAGTCCAACATTAACTGATAGATAAGTACTTTATGGTTGCATATTACATTGGAATCGGGAAATTCCAATTTTCTGTTTACATAAAAATCCTAAACCAACGTTTGTCAGATCGACTTTCAAAAACAAATGTAAACAATGCTAAAAGTATCAAATGTTGAGCCCTACAAACATCTTTCCTACGCTCATGCACGGCTTTTGTTTCGCCAGGAAAAATTCAGTACACACTGTTTAAAAAAATCGTACGCTTCTCGGTGCTTTTTACGGACTTTTGTTCTAACAACACCGAGTTAAGTGTTTAATTTTCGGTGTGCGTGTTAATATCTTTTTAATCAAAATAATTTATAGATTTATTTAGATATATAGTTGAGTAACTTTAGGTTTAACTCGGAAAAAAAACACTAAGAAGTGGCCCGAACTTTACGTAACAAGGTGAAGAGGCTTTGTTTTATCCGCGAAATGGTGCGGACCCAGCACCATTTCTCCACCTTATTTAGGTTTAACCGCAACTGCTGACACCTAATTAGCTGGAATTAAAATAAATACTTATAGTAGATTGCTCTAATTTTCAAATTCTAAATGTTGAATTCTTAGTTATATTTGAATTGCATTTTGCAAAAAGGAACCACTAGCATTGCAATGATTGTGCAACTTCATCTTTGGTAATAAAATTGCGGAAATCGTGAAAAACTATGAAATTTAGATGGTAATTTTTGTCTTAAATTTACAGTTTTTAGCGAGTAAAATAGAAACTATTCAGGGATAATCGGGTTTTTCCTCCAAGACAAAAGAAGTTGCACAATCTTAGCAACATTGCAATGCTAGTGGTTCCTTTTTGCAAAATGCAATCCATTTAATCCTAGGTTTATTTAATCGTCGTGTTTTTCGTATCGAGAATATGATAAAGAATGCCAAATCAGTGCTTATACGGAACACAGGTCGGTGTTTACATGGAAGCGTTCACGACTCCTCACTCATGCCCCTCATCCCCCTCCTCTGCAAAATAATATAAATTGCGCGATTTTTATGAAAATTAAATCGACCTTTAAGTGAACTTGATTTCCCTAGAGTCAGAGTCATCCTGTCCGACCTATCAAATTTTTCCGACTTATCGGGATTTGAACGCGGGAGCTGCCCATTTTTTTTTAATTGAATTATATTATTAATATTTTACAAAAAGGAACCACGATTTAACCGAACTGTGGCCAAAAGCCTATGTGTACAAATTAAGAGTATTTGAAGGTCCTAAGTAGTTTACATGTTAGTCCCCCTTTTTAATGTTCCCATTATAGTGACTTATTATTATATAAATAAATCTACATTGAAGATCCTCGGTCTTCTAACTGTTTATTCTTCGTCATTCACCTCGGAATCGCCTGAGAACTTATCATCGAGAGAGGAGGGTGGGGTGGCTGCGCAGTCTGAATCTCTTGTATCTTCATCTTCATTGAGGGCTTGTTGTTTCTGTTGTAAGATTGTTGTTATGAATTCTTGTATTATCTTCCAGTTTTTCTTTGAGTGAGTCATGAGATGGTGAGATGGTGGTCATGGATGGTGTTTTCTGGTGTTATAGGTTCATCTAGTTAATTCTGAAGTTGAGATCTAAGGGGTCGGAATGTCTCACATAAATAGAATGTGTGTTCTGCGGTGTCAATAGATAGAATGTCGCACATTGGGCAATAAGGGTTGGTTTGTCAATAGATAGGGTGTCGCACATTGGGGACCTGCCTATTACGAGTCGAGTACACTACCGACCGAGCCATCCGGGCTTGTGTTCGATCGAGACGAATCTTAAGTGTATGTCTAGTCCACTGAAATACTTTTCTATATTTATGCCATCTTACGTGCGTGGAATTCATAACGCATGAGACTGTTTGGTTTTTCTTTTTTTCCATTCACTGTTAACGAAAAGGAATTTGCATAATGTACAACATAAAAATTAACAATTTAGCAAGAACGATTTTTCGCCCCGCAAACAACGACATTTCCTCTCTTCGATGTTTAGGATTCTAGGTTTTTTCTTATTTTATATCATGACAATAATTAATAATATACGTAAATCCAACGTTGAAAACAAAAGATATAATCAAATAATTGAGAAATTTGTACGCACATTTTTTATTACTTCATAGGAGAGTGATTCAAGAGCCGATTGCAAAGTATTTTCATAATATTTTTCTGATATGAGCAATAGCAATAAAACAGATTTAAAAAGAGAAAATGTGCCATGTTGAACACCCCAAGTTCAAGCGCTGCGAATGAATCATGAGACCCGGATTAAAATTCCGGTTTACGAAGCCGGTTATCTTTCCTTTACTTCTTTTCCGCATTATTTCATAGTTCGTGATTTTCCACGCGCGATTAGCATGGTGGCTCGTCCCTCATGACCCCAAATTATCGCAAACAACTGACAAAGGGAACTTCCAAATTTGCCGCCTCCGATCGGGCTGAACAAATTCGTACAAACTCTTTGAATGAATCGTTTACATCCGTGTTTTTTTTTTTTTTTTTTTTTTTTTTTTTTTTTTTTTTTTTTTTTTGTTCCAATGCGCTCTCTTCAATTAAATATGTAATTGATTAATAATGCCTCCTATTAGTGACGGCGATCTGTAAAAATCTTAGCTTTTCTACGATTCATTAGGATCCATTAGACTCATTGACATCATACTTCAGATACGATTATATATTATAATCTTTCCTTAAGCACGGTCAAAAGCCATCAAAAATCTACTTTAATGGGTAGAATGACTATTCGATGTTTAAATAGTCTTAAAACTAAACTGTTTTCGCTTAGTATCGCCCAAATTTTAAAGTTGGCGGGCAAATCTCCCTGCTGGAAATGGTTCATCACCCGCCCGCCGAGAGAGCGCCACCTCCTTGCTGCTCGTGTCCCCGTGTATTTAAACAACAACAACAAACCTGGACGGGTTCTAACGAGCTTTATTATCAATCATTATATCAATCATGTTTGTGCAGTATTATTATGATACATTTGTGTTCAGTACCTCGTAAAAAGGAACCGCGAAAGATGGAATCTGCCGGGATTCTAAATTCATTAACAACAAACATATTAGTCTCTAATAAAGATCTAAGAGTCAGTTCTTGCGTTAGCTTCGATGATTCATAGTATGTAATGTAAGTACCTAATTAGTTGTCTAATTTTGCTTGGTGTATACCTACGGAGTAATTTTGGAGATAGTACATGATGCATTATATAATGCATTTGAATTCCTAGGTTTTACCTGACTCAAAGCGTTTGCTGCTAATATCTTTGAGCGTTCCGACCCATTTGTCGGAGGATTGAGCGTTTCCTATCGGCCCCTCTGCAATTCTGAGATTAGTCCAAAGGTCCTTCAGGAACTTAAATCAATGACTCAGGTGGTGCTTTTGAGCCAACTTTCAAAGAATTAAAGGCATTTTTTCAAAATCTACAGTCCATGAGCTCTCCGTGTTACCGAAGTGCTCTCCTCGCTATATGACGCGTAACCCTTCAATTTTTCGTTTAGTCCAAAGACCTCATAGGAACTTAAATTAATGAGCCAGGTGGTGCTCTAATGCCAACTTTCGAAGGGTAATTGTCCACTTTAGGGGGCCACGCTCTTTCACGATTTTTCCTTCAGAAACTTGTAGTATGCATCCTAAAGAACACAAAAAGTGCAAAATCACCGGGCGCAATCAATTTTAAACTAATTTTGGAAGCGATAACAGATACATAATTTCCCTATATCATAACGCATTTCGTCCGCGTCCGCCATTACTGTTGACGGAGCCACGCAGTATGACCAACCTTGCTTTTTTTCCCCGAAACAAGAGACACCTGTTTCCGACGAAACGGGCGGAAACGCGTTCCCCTTGTCACCGGAAACGGAAATGGAATCTGAAGTTGTTCAAAGGATTGGGATTTTCACTGATTTTCCTTTTGTATTTACCGTCAGTACTGTCATGGATGGTGATGCGTTTGGTACGTGCGACGGTTGTTCTTTAACAACGGAAGAGTTTTATCGAATCGTTACGAATCGTAGTCTACTTTTAAAATTTTTAGAAAGACACGGTGTCATTTCCCGTTATTCAAAATGTGGTAGGTGTGAGAGCCGCTTAAGTGTTAATCGAGACGGGAAAAAACTTGTATTCCGGTGCAGAAAGAAGGTGACTGTTAAGAAGAAGAAGAAAAAGTGTTGTAATTACAAAGCTAGTATTTTTAAAAATACTTACTTTGAAAACAGCAATTGGACTGTTAAAAAAGTGTTGATTGCCGCCTGGCATTGGCTAACACGCGATCCTCCGCGGCAAAATTTTATCCGCAAGGAAACGAAAGGTAGCAAAGCAACAGTCGTGGATTGGGCTAGTTTTAATAGAGAAGTGTTATTAGATTGGTGTGATCGGAATAGTGCTAAAGATTTGATCGGAGGCCCCGGGGAAGAAGTTGAGATTGATGAAGAGAAGTTTGGTAAGCGAAAGTACAACCGCGGGAGGAGAGTGAAGGGACAGTGGGTTTTTGGTGGCACTTTACGGAGCGATCCAAAAGTGATTTTCCTCGAGCCAGTAGAGCGTCGAGATAAAGAGACTCTTTTAGAAATTATTCAAAGAAGAATCAAGCCCGGTACCTGTATTTTATCCGATTGTTGGAAATCATACGATTGTTTATGGGACGAAGGTTACACCCATTTCACTGTTAACCACACCTACAGCTTCGTGGACCCCGAAACCGGCGCTCACACGCAACACATCGAACGCGCCTGGCGTGAGGTCCGAGCTCGTATTCCTAGGTACGGACGTAAAGACGCCCATTTCGTAGGGTATCTGGCAGAATTTATGTTTAAGAGAAGTTTCCCTGATCACACTGTGCGTTTACATGAATTTTTGAAGGCAGCTGCAAACTTGTATCCTCCGATTAGACCGTCCACGTGAAAGTGAGTCATATTACTTCAAATTCAAATTTTTTAATTTACTAAGTTTTTCCATTGTTACTACAAGACCTGACAGATCCTGCCCCACAAGCCTGAGTGGCGTAAGGCATCCCTCGGGAGGTTAGGTTAGGTTAGGTTAATGATTACTTTTCACATTTATTTTTGAGGATTGTTTTTCAGTTTTTACGATAACCTAACCCAACCTAACCTAACCTAACCTAACCTAACCTAACCTAACCTCCCGAGGGATGCCTTACGTTAGGTTACGTTACGCCACTCAGGCTTGTGGGGCAGGATCTGCCAGTTCTTACAGTAACAATGGAAAAACTTCTCAGAGCTCAAAAGCATGCATATTGAATCAGTCGATTTTGAATTGCGTGGGATTTTCCGCCTACGGTCTTTTCAGTGCAATTCTTACCCACTTCGTAGACCTGGGGAGTGTTTTCCGCTGTTCTTTTGTTTCGAGGAAAGATAGCAAGGTTGGTCATACTGCGTGACTCCGTCAACAGTAATGGCGGACGCGGACGCAATGCGTTATGATATAGGGAATTCACGTAACTTTTATCGCTTCTAAAATTAGTTTAAAATTGATTGCGCCCGGTGATTTTGCACTTTTTGTGTTCTTTAGGATGCATACTACAAGTTTCTGAAGGAAAAATCGTGAAAGAGCGTGGCCCCCTAAAGTGAACAATTACCAAGTGCCCTACTTTTGGGCCTCGTAATCCCTTGAATTTTGAGTTTAGTCCTAAGATCTTTTAGGAACTTAAATTAATGACCTAGGTGATGTGCTTGATGCCCATTGTTAAAGAATTAAAGGCATTTATCAAAATTTACACTCCTTCAAAATGAGCTTTCCGTGTGATTTTGCTAAAAATGGACAATTTAGCCTAGCCCCCCCACCCCCAAATTTTAGCGTACCCCAAAATCGTTTGACGTGCATAAGGACACCATAAATGTGGTGTTTTGTGCCAATTTTGAATCAAATCGAACAGATAGATTCTGAGACATCGCTGTACACAGATTTGGGGGACGTCGGACGGACGGACACACATTTTTTCAAGTATGGTTATTTTGACTCCTGGGACCTTAAAACGTCTAGAAATGATGATATTTCAACTTTTTTTTCTTTTTTTTCTTGGAGGATGACAATACTTCCTCTCTACCCTTGGGGAGCGAGAAAGTAAAAATTCTGAAAAGTCTTGTTTTGAGCGCTCGCCGGACAGCCAGTAACGCTGCGCCGGGAGGGCTAGGCAAGGCGAAGGAGCGCTTGAGTCTATACAAGCAGTTTAGCCGAACCGCTCCCACTACCGCCAGTGACTCTGCGGTAGATTGCTCGCCTCGTTAACATGCGGATCTGGGTTCAATTCTCTACACGGGCTCCTTCTGTTTTATGGTTGAGTTTTATTTCCTCACACATTTTCCGCAACAGCACTTCACATGAAATCACATTTAATACATTGGAACTATTATTAATTTAATTTACAACCATCACCAAACACAAATTCAACAACGAGCATTAACATCTTCAATTTTAACGGTACAGAAAACTTTTTTGTTATAGATTTTAATGGGAAACGAAGTGAATAAAATAAATGTTGTTGTGGGTCAAATTTGAGTTCAATTAAACTTAATGAACTTATCATATCAAAACTTGCTATCGATGCTCCCCCCCCCCCAAATTTTCCAA